TCCAGTCTTACCGTTCTCATTGTTGGAGTGGACACATTGTTTGCAGAGCGCACAACCTATGCTACACTTGTGAGAAACAAGTTTTGGTTTATTTCATTCCGTTTACGTGTTCTGTCAATTCAATTTAGTCATTTTCTTTTTGTTTGGAGCGCTCCTGTCAATGTTGAGTAAGGACGCGCACCTGATTACGCATAGAAGTATATACAGTGCATTCAGAAAGTATTCAGACCCCTTGACTTTCTCCTCATTTTGTTATGTTACAGCCTTATTCTAATATGGATGAAATCTCCCCCCCCCCCCCCCCCGTATTCAAACGCTTTACTCAGTACTTTGTTGAAGCACCTTTGGCAGCGATTACAGCCTTGAGTCTTCTTGGGTATGACGCTACATGCTTGGCACGCCTGTATTTGGGGAGTTTCTCCCATTCTTCTCTGCAGATCCTATCAAGCTCTCAGGTTGGATGGGGAGCGTCGCTGCACAGCTATTTTCAGGTCTCTCCAGAGATGTTAGATCAGGTTGAAGTCCGGGGTCTGGCTGGGCCACTCAAGGACATTCAGAGACTTGTCCCGAAGCCACTCCTGCGTTGTCTTGGCTGTGTGCTTAGGGTCATTGTCCTGTTGGAAGGTGAACCTTCACCCCAGTCTGAGGTTCTTAGCGCTATGGAGCAGGTTTTCATCAAGGATCTCTCTGTACTTTGCTCCGTTCATCTTTCCCTCGATCCTGACTAGTCTCCCAGTCCCTGCCATTGAAAAACATCCTCACAGCGTGATGCTGCTGCCACCACCATGCTTCACCGTAGGGATGGTGCCAGGTTTCCTCCAGATGTGACGCATTCAGGCCAAAGAGTTAAATCTTGGTTTTATCTGACCAGAGAATCTTGTTTCTCATGGTCTGAGAGTCCTTTAGGTGCCTTTTGGCAAACTCCAAGTGGGCTGTTATGTGCCTTTTACTGAGGAGTGGCTTCCGTCTGGCCACTCTACCATAAAGGCCTGATTTGGTGGAGTGCTGCAGAGATGGTTGTCCTTCTGGAAGGCTCTCCCATCTCCACAGAGGAACTCTGGAGCTCTGTCAGAGTGACGATCGGGTTCTTGGTCACCTCCCTGACCAAGGCCCTCCTTCCCCTAATTGCTCAGTTTAGCCGGGCGGCCAGCTCTAGGAAGAGTCTTGGTGGTTCCAGACTTCTTCCATTTATTAATGGTATAGGCCACTGTGTTTTTGGGGAACTTCAATGCTGCATAATATTTTTGGTACTCTTCCCCAGATCTGTGCCTCGACACAATCCTGTCTCGGAGCGCTATGGACAATTCCTTCGACCTCATTGCTTGGTTTTTGCTCTGAAGTGCACTGTCAACTGTAGGACCTTATATAGACAGGTGTGTGCCTTTCCAAATCATGTCCAATCAATTAAATTGACCACAGTTGGACTCCAAGTTGTACAAACATCTCAATGATGGTCAATGGAAACAGGATGCACCTGAGGTCATAGCAAAAAGGGTCTGAATACGTATGTAAATAAGGTATTTCTGTTTTTATATGTAATACATTTGCAAAAATGTCTAAACCTGTTTTCGCTTTGTCATTATGGGGTATTGTGTGTAGATTGAGGATTATTATTTTTAATCCATTTTAGAATAAGGCGGTAACGTAACAATGTGGAAAAAGAGAAGGGGTCTGAATACTTTCCGAGTGCACTGTAGGCCTATAAGCTACCTAGCCTGCGTGCAAATATAGGCATATAAATGTGCCCATTCTGGGATCTGAGAGTATTTCTGATTTGGCTTAACGCACCACCACTAATAAGCTGTGGAGCTTCTCAAATTAATGTTCTCTTCACCTAAAACAGCAAGCAAACAAAGTCTGTTTTTACATCTGAGAATGACAATAGTTCCTCAATGCATTTAAAAAGAAATCCAGCTCTCTCCCTTTTGATAACCAGTCAGTGTGAAAGGGAAAAATGTAATGCTCTGATCCAGTGCAAACGTCATAAAATAGGCCTACCTGATTACTTCTTATCCGTGCTTGATTTGGACTGAAATAGGTTCCGGTACTCATTTTGGGTGCTGGTACTGTTTATATTTAGGTGCAGGAGCTCCACAATACTTTTGAGCTAATGTTCTATGAGGAACAGGAGCTCAAGCAGTAAAAAATGTGAGGTGCCGGTACTCAGCTCTGGTGAGCTCCTGCCCAAGTCAAGCAATGCTTCTTATCCCTTGCGCAAATAGCCTACAGCTGTGTCTGTCACGAGCTCACTGGCGGGGGAAACTCTGAGGGCCCAAAATATTTTATACAATGTTGCAAGTTAGCTTTGGACCCAAATGTATAGTTGATACAATGTTTCAAGTTTGTTGCAGACAGGTCATGCGTAGCCAATGTGATTTATAGTATTTTTTACATGTATTATTATAATATTTTCTACCTGCAGGCTGCAATGTTTTTATTTGTTGGCTTTATGTAGGCTATTTTTACATAATTGGCAATAGAAGTTACCTAATTAGGTTTGTATAATTTTAATTTAGATTTGGATATAATTTTGATTAACCACATTACAATGATTTTGAGATATATATGACGTTATTATAAATTAAATTAAACTGTTCCACAAAAATGTGCATATGAAAACCATAACTGTCACGCAGATCGGTAGGAATGGTAAGATAAATTGGCATTCCACATGAGAAAGGTTGCCGACTCCTCGTGTAGCCTATTACCGGCAACTTCAGGAGAGAAATGGCAGATTGAAAGCCAGCAGAAGCGGGAGGAGAATGGTTGGGTCAGGTTAAGGTTTTTTCTTCTGGTTATCTAGATCTCTGGCTCCCTCTTGAGTCATTTGTGTGTTATTTCATCAAACAGTAAGCTTAAAGAGTCAGACAAGCTCAATGCATATAGTTGAGTTTATTAAAACACATAGGGTGTGTCTATATATGGAAAATATATATAAAGTTTAAAAACTTTAGACCGATCGATTGGTTGTAAGAACAGACTACTTTCGGTCGATCAAGATTTATTTTAATCTGGGACAGCCCTACAACTAATCATCAAGCCCTTGACAAGTTGAATCAGGTGTTTTTGTCCGGAACTACAACAAAAATGTGAGCTGTTGGGGGTACCGGAGGACTGGAGTTGGGGAAACACTGCTTATACAGTGTGCAGAGTGTGTATTTTGGCTGCCATCAAGGAGTGTCTCTAACACACACAGGGGGAATGTGTGTTGTTACATCACAGTAAGAATGTGGACATATTGTTCACTTCTCATTAACCATTGACACGCTGTGTACATTAGGGTTGGGTGGTATCCAGATTTTCATACTTTCATACCGTTCCTGTACCATACTGGGTTGCAAAACCAGCCTTGCAAAAAGCATTCATTAGTGCACACCGTCAAAAAACATTATGCAACGGAAAACAAAAACGAGCTTTTCTTTTGTTTAACAAGTTCAGCCAGTCCCTCCATGTTTCCTTAGTTTGGTGTCTAGTGAAATACAACCCAGGTGTTTGCATTGCTGTAATCTAAGCCAAGGTAATGTCTACAAAAGTAAAAAAGGGAAAAACTCATACTATGCCAATACATTGAAATATTTTGGCATGGGGCCTTTGTCTACGAAATGTGAACATTGAGCTCACATCGCACTACTTTGCGCTGCTAGAACCTACCAAGCATGCCTTGTTGTCTCCTTATGTAGTAGACTTAATAGTATAGGGCGGGGATCGTCAACTAATGGCCCGCGGTTTGTTTTATTTCCCCATGACACTAGGAATTCACCTAAAAATGATTTGAATTTAGGTAGTCTATTCCCAAGTATTTCCACTCAAAAATAGACATGTGATCGTGTACCAATGTAATCAAGGTTTTAAATGATTTATTTTTGTCAAATACAATATCTGTTTCGGCTTCTTGCATCAATTTGCAGAGTACTAATTATTTATAATTATGTTTCGGCCCTCCGACCATCCGCTCAAGAAAAAATTGTCCCGTGGCTGAATGAGCCCTGGTCTAGGGTATCACGTAGGGCTGTGACTGTCCTGGTCACCGTTATAATAGTTTGAACAGCTTGTTCTAGGCACATTTTCTCATGTGCTGGTGCTGCAGGAATGGGGTGTTGCCTAGGCAACCAAATACTTGTTTGCTACAACACGTTTGTTTCAGCAAGGAGCAACAAAGTCTCATCACGTTGTAAAGAGTCCATGTGTAACTGCGGAAACTCACTCAACCGCACGAATGCCCGGCCGTCTTGTCCTCAGTCAGCTGTTCGTTATTTTATTTTCATGACTGTCTTCATCCACAATTGTCGGTTACAGGATTATACAGTCATTGTGCCAGCCCTAGTATCACGGAATGTGGAGATTTGACTACTGTGTGCCAATACTGTGTATGCTACTAGCAAATACCAAGCAGCAGAATTCCATGTCTCTCCCAGTATTTCCGTGTGTAGTGTGTGGCTACTGGCTAGCTTAGTCCTCTGCTGTGATTTGAAGGACTTGGCTGGGACTGATTGTGTAACCCAGTATTGATGACTCATTTGTTGTGGACTCTGCTGGTCAGCACAGCAGCAATGACTGACTGTGCTGGGGGTCATGTGGGTTTTACAGTGCTGCTGCCACTGGCTCACGGCACTATACATTAGTTCAAATACAGAGACTGGCATTTCCCCATACACAGGATGTATGCTGCAGGAAGTGTACTCTGTACTGTGTGTGCGTGCATTTGTGTGTGTGTCAGAGATCATGCCAACATAAAGAACACGTGAGGTTATCATGCCTAACCTAAAAGCACTCCTAGTTTTATGAGGGCATAGAATAGTTTCTGTTCTCTCAGAAGTCACACCTCCTTTTGTTATGTCCTGCTGCTTCACTAAAGCAACGCCACAGTGGAATGCAATTTCATTTCTCTCAGCTCACCTGTCTGTCTCCAAACGTGCAGAAAATTAAATAACTGAATGTTCTCTTTCTCACTGCTTCCTTCTCTTCTGTTTCTCTCTCCTCTCTCTCGCCACCTCCCTCCCTCTCTCTCTCCCTTCTTCCTCTCTAACAGTGGTAGTCATGGTGACAGTCTCTTGATGTCGGAATGCTAAGTGATGTTCCTGGTGACCTCTGTGGTTTCTACGGAGACTAGACGATTGTGAGCAGAACTGCCAAGTCACAGGAAGATGACATCAATGTCCCCTACCCACAGTGACAGCAGCGCCAGCTCGTCCAAACATGACAGCCATCAGGTGTGTGAGTGTGTGAGTGTGTGAGTGTGTGAGTGTGTGAGTGTATGAGTGTATGAGTGTATGAGTGTATGAGTGTATGAGTGTATGAGTGTATGAGTGTATGAGTGTATGAGTGTATGAGTGTATGAGTGTATGAGTGTGTGAGTGTGTGAGTGTGTGAGTGTGTGAGTGTGTGAATGCGTGTGTAACCCCATGAGTTTCTGTCTACAGGACAGCTGGGAGATCATTGAGGGCCTGAAGGGTAACCCTGGCAACATCCAGGAGCCAGAGAAACAGGAGGGCTTCTTGCTCAAGAGGAGGAAATGGCCCATGAAAGGATGGCAAAAGGTGGGTACTACATGCCTTACCCCTGACCACCTGACAAGGTGGGCACCTCCCTTAAAGGTTGACTTTGGGCAAAAACTCTAAAATAACGGCGTTAAACTGTGTAACTGATTTTATACATCATCATACCAGGTCATTTAATGCTTAATTTTTTTTTTATATATGAATATTATATTTGGCTACAGAAGTAGCATTTCTTACCGATATCTACAGCTTCTGTCCAAAAACAAATCCTGTGAAATGGCATCAACACATACTGGAAGAGTTACTGGCTAGCTACAGTGGCTAGCTTAGCTAACCAACTAGCTACGTCAGCTGGCTTTTTACTCCTTACCTCTCACTGCAGGTAAATCTCAAGTGTCTTTCCTTGAATCCTCCAAATGCATTAGAGGAGAAAATCAGAGGATCTTTTCAGACCTTCTCCTCTTACGGACTGAAGGAGATGAGAAGAGGACGTGAGGAATCAAGGAGAGACACTTGAGAGACACCCTGCCCCTCCCTTAACCCCTCAATTAGGGCTGGCACATGGAAATGGGAGAAGTGTGCTACCCGACACGTACCTGGTGTTTATCTAAAGCTCCGATAAGACACTAGTTATGTTGAGCTGGAGGTGACATTTGAGTGGAGCATTTGAATGGATAATATGTTAATGTAAAAAACTTTTGTCCACAGCAGTAATGCGTTAAGGTAGTTTGAATTTGACAGACGGGCGGCTAAAACAGTTGCTATTGTGTCTCTTGTTATACAGAGATACTTCTTGCTGGAAAAAGGCATTCTGAAGTACTCAAAACGTGGAGCTGATGTAAGTACCTATTCAAAAGTATGTCAGGCAGATGCATCACCCCCCCCTCCCCACACACACACACACAGAATTTAGTTAATGTACAGTATGTGTCATTGAAGTAGCAAGCATTTGCTCATTTAGTCAATTAAACACACACACTGACCTTTACTTTTGTTTCCAGCTGAAGAAGGGCAAGCTGCATGGCTGCATTGATGTGGGGCTGTCTGTCATGTCAATCAAGAAGAAAACCAAGGCCATCGATCTGGACACCAACAACAACATTTATCACCTCAAGGTGTCTCTCTCTGTCTCTCTCTGTTTTACGCTCTCTCTCTCTCTCTCTCCTACTTGAATGACATCACATCTCGCTGTTCTATAGGTGAAGTCTGAGAAGTCTCAGGAAGTGAAGTCACAGCAGCTGTTTGATGATTGGGTGTCGAAGCTGCGACATCACCGCGTCTTCCGTCAGAACGAGATTGCGATGTACCCCCACGAGAGGCTTCTGTTCCACCCCTCCTCACACCTCTCTCCCAACCTCAACGACTCCATGAGACAGGTACGGGTCTCCCTAGACACTGATCTATGATCCGTTTTGGCTAATGTTAGGATTTTGGGGATTGTAAGCTGATCCTACATCTGTGCCTAAGAGCAACCTCTTCCTGGAGCTTTTAAACTGACCAATCATCATTTCATTATTGTACTGTATAGCGTATTTGATAGGAATCTGTATGCATATTCCAACTCCTTGTCTTTCTCTCCACTCCTCTCTCGATCTCCTTCTCGCCACCCCTCTCTCGATCTCCCTCTCTCCACTCCTTTCTGGATCTCTCTCTGTCCTCTATCTCTCGATCTATCCCTCCCCCCTCCATCTCATAGTGCCGCTCCAGTCTGGCTAAGCAGGCGTCTGTTGTCCAGCAGGCTAAGGTCTCTGCCTGGCTCCACTCCTCAGAAGACATGGATAGGTGCTGCAGAGGTATGGAGGTGAAACCTCTCACCTGTCTGCCATACTTATTCTGATGGACCTCGCCGTACTTGCTGGAACTCTATACCATACATAGGGCACTACTTTTGACCAGGGGTCCATAGGGCACTACTTTTGATCAGGGGTCCATAGGGCACTACTTTTGACCAGGGGTCCATAGGGCACTATATAGTGAATAGGTTGCCATTTGGGACACAGCCTTAAGGCGTCAGCATGCTTCATTTCGGCTGGCGGCTAGCCGAAGTCGGCTCGCATACTCTGTTACAATCCATACTATTGACCAATCACTGACGAAGTGATTGGTCAATCACTTCGGCTACCAACTTCAGCTTGGCTTAAGAAAAATATTTGTGTGCCCAAAAAAGGAAAAAATTATCCTTACCAAAGTCCAAAGCGAACACAAACGTCACAAAATGTCGTCATAATATATGCACAAACTCTTCCAAACTGGGACGCATGCAGACGCCTTTACTGTCTCTACATTGATCCTCCCTCAACTTCTGCCATTCATACATCTGTCATCCTTCTCTCTCAGATTTAGAGGAGTGTGAGTCTTACCTGTTGGAACTCAACCTGTTGCTGAAGAGTATGGAGGTTCTCCACCGCACTTACTCTGCCCCCTCCATCAGCCTCATGGTAACACATCACCTTTGTCCTTTAACCTATAACTCTAACCTTGGCCCAGTACACACAGTTCTCGGCCCGTTTAACCTACAACCCTAACCCTGACCTACACTACACTTACTCTGCCCCACCATCAGCCTCATGGTAACACATAACCTTTAACCTATAACCCTGACCTACACTACACTTACTCTGCCCCACCATCAGCCTCATGGTAACACATAACCTTTGCCCTTTAACCTATAACCCTAACCTTGACCCTAACCTTGACCCAGTACACATACTGTAGTCAGCCCCTTTAATTTCAGTTTTTGACAAAACAAGCAATGTATAATGTAGAGAATCATTGTACCATCTAAACCGCTGTGAAATATATTTCCAATAACCAAAAATATTGTATTTTCAGCTGTTTGAAGCTGGTGTAGAAAACCGAACGTAAAAGACGCAAAAACTAAACTTAAGAACGGGAAGCATAGAAATAGCGCACATAGAACAGGTCTACCGCTTCTTAGACTTGCTTTCCATGAGTGACAGATCTATAACTCACATTTCTATGTGAATTTGGTCGGTCGCCCAAAAAGTTACATATTTCAGCTTTAAGCTATAACCCTGAACTACACTACACTTACCCTGCCATCAGCCTCATGGTAACACAACCTATAACCCTGACCTACACCACACTTACCCTGCCATCAGCCTCATGGTAACACAACCTATAACCCTGACCTACACCACACTTACCCTGCCATCAGCCTCATGGTAACACAACCTATAACCCTGACCTACACCACAATTACCCTGCCATCAGCCTCATGGTAACACAACCTATAACCCTGACCCACACCACACTTACCCTGCCATCAGCCTCATGGTAACACAACCTATAACCCTGACCTACACTACACTTACCCTGCCATCAGCCTCATGGTAACACAACCTATAACCCTGACCTACACCACACTTACCCTGCCATCAGCCTCATGGTAACACAACCTATAACCCTGACCTACACCACACTTACCCTGCCATCAGCCTCATGGTAACACAACCTATAACCCTGACCTACACCACACTTACCCTGCCATCAGCCTCATGGTAACACAACCTATAACCCTGACCTACACTACACTTACCCTGCCATCAGCCTCATGGTAACACAACCTTTAACCCTGACCTACACTTACTCTGCCCCCACCATCAGTCTCATGGTAACATGACCTATAACCCTGACCTACACCACACTTACCCTGCCATCAGCCTCATGGTAACATGACCTATAACCCTGACCTACACTTACTCTGCCCCCACCATCAGCCTCATGGTAACATGACCTATAACCCTGACCTACACTTACTCTGCCCCCACCATCAGCCTCATGGTAACATGACCTATAACCATGACCTACACTTACTCTGCCCCCGCCATCAGCCTCATAGTAACACGACCTATAACCCTGACCTACACTACACTTCCTCTTACTCTGCCCCTGCTATCAGTACACTGCAGGTATGCACACCTCAACTAACCCCAAGACTATAACCCTAACCTCTACGTTTTCTCTCTATGGTAACAGTTGTCTGTCCCTTCCCTCGCTCTGTCTCTCTCTCTGGGACATCAGGCCTCAACATACGACATTCCCAAGAAGGAGAAGAAGGGTCCCAGGAAGTGGCGTTCAAAAAATTACAACAAAGATGCCAAAAAAGATATCATAGCCACACTACAGGTACACACTGTTTTACTTTCTCTCAAAGCAGTACCTGCTACCGGTCATTGTCACACCTACGACCACTTGAGAGAAGTGTTGCATTGACTACTACTACTGTACTACTGTCTCATGGAGTTTTTAATACTGTGGCAGGATATACACAAAATCAAATCAAATTGTATTTGTCACATACACGTGTTTAGCAGATGTTATTGCGGGTGTAGCGAAATGCTTGTGCTTCTAGCTCCGACAGTGCAGTAATATCTAACAAGTAATATCTAACAATTTCACAACATTAAGAATATATACACTACCGTTCAAAAGTTTGGGGTCACTTAGAAATGTCCTTGTTTTCCATGAAAACAAACATGAAATGAGTTTGAATAGGAAATATAGCAAAATGAATAGGAAATGTAGTCATTAACAAGGTTAGAAATTATGATTACATTTTTTTTTTAAATAATAATTGTCCTTCAAACTTTGCTTTCGTCAAAGAATCCTCAATTTGCAGCAATTACAGCCTTGCAGACCTTTGGCATTCTAGTTGTCAATTTGTTGAGGTAATCTGAAGAGATTTCACCCCATGCTTCCTGATGCACCTCCCACAAGTTGGATTGGCTTGATGGGCACGTACCATACGGTCAAGCTGCTCCCACAACAGCTCAACAGGGTTGAGATCCGGTGACTGTGCTGGCCTCTCCATTATAGACAATACCAGCTGACTGCTTCTACCCTAAATAGTTATTGCATGGTTTGGAGCTGTGCTTTGGGTCATTGTCCTGTTGTAGGAGGAAATTGGCTCCAATCAAGCACTGTCCACAGGGTATGGCATGGCGTTGCAAAATGGAGTGATAGCCTTCCTTCTTCAATCTCCCACTTTACCACCACCAAAGCACCCCCAGACCATCACATTGCCTCCACCATGCTTGACAGATGACATCAAGCACTCCTCCAGCATCTTTTCATTTGGTCTGCGTCTCACAAATGTTATTTATTGTGATCCGAACACCTCAAACTTCGATTCGTCTGTCCATAACACTTTTTTCCTATCTTCCTCTGTCCAGTTTCTGTGTTCTTTTGCCCATCTTAATTTTTTTTTTTTATTGGCCAGTCTGAGATATGGCTTTTTCTTTGTAACTCTGCCTAGAAGGTCAGCATCCCGGAGTCGCCTCTTCAGTGTTGACGTTGAGACTGGTGTTTTGCGGGTACTATTTAATGAAGCTGCCACTTGAGGACCTGTGAGGCGTCGGTTTATCAAACTAGACACTATAATGTATTTGTCCTCTTGCTCAGTTGTGCACCGGGACCTCCCACTCCTCTTTCTATTCTGGTAATAGCCAGTTTGCGCTGTTCTGTGAAGGGAGTAGTACACAGCGTTGTACGAGATCTTCAGTTTCTTGGCAATTTAGCGCATGGAATAGCCTTCATTTCTCAGAACAAGAATAGACTGATGAGTTTCAGAAGAAAGTTATTTGTTTCTGCCCATTTTGAGCCTGTAATCGAACCCACAATTGCTGATGCTCCAGATACTCAACTAGTCTCAAGAAGGCCAGTTTTACTGCTTCTTTAATTAGCACAACAGTTTTCAGCTGTGCTAACATAATTGCAAAAGGGTTTTCTAATGATCAATTAGCCTTTTTAAAATGATAAACTTGGATTAGCAAACAAAACGTACCATTGGAACACATGACTGATGGTTGCTGATAATGGGCATCTGTACACCTATGTAGATATTCCATTAAAAATCAGCCGTTTCTAGCTACAATGGCCATTTACAACATTAACAACAATGTCTACACTGTATTTCTGATCAATTTGATGTTATTTTAATGGACAAAAAAATGGCTTTTCTTTCGAAAACAAGGACATTTCTAAGTGACCCCAAACTTTTGAACGGTAGTGTACATATATGGACGAGCAATTTCAGAGCGGCATGGACTAAGATACTGTAGAATATTATAGAATACAGTATATACATATGAGATGAGTAATGCAAGATATGTAAACATTATTAAAGTGACTAGTGTTCCATTTCTAAAAGTGGCCAGTGATTTCAATAGGCAGCAACAGTCTCTAATGTGCTAGTGATGGCTATTTAACAGTCTGATGGCCTTGAGATAGAAGTAGTTTTTCAGTCTCTCGGTCCCAGCTTTGATGCACCTGTACTGACCTTGCCTTCTGGATGATAGCGGGGTGAACAGGCAGTGGCTCGGGTGGCTGATGTCCTTGATGATCTTTTTGGCCTTCCTGTGACATCGGGTGCTGTAGGTGTCCTGAAGGGCGGGTAGTTTGCCCCCGGTAATGCGTTCGGCAGACCGCACCACCCTCTGGAGAGCCCTGCGGTTGCGGGCGGTGCAGTTGCCGTACCAGGCGGTGATACAGCCCGACAGGATGCTCTCAATTGTGCATCTGTAAAAGTTTGTGAGGATTTTAGGTGCCAAGCCAAATTTCTTCAGCCTCCTTAGGTTGAAGAGGCTCTGTTGCACCTTCTTCACCACACTGTCTGCGTGGGTGGACCATTTCAGTTTGTCGGTGATGTGTACGCCAAGGAACTTGAAGCTTTCCACCTTCTCCACTGCGGGCCCGTCGATGTGGATAGGGGGGTGCACCCTCTCCTTTGTTTTGTTGACGTTGAGTGAGAGGTTATTTTCCTGGCACCACATTCCCAGAGCCCTCACCTCCTCCCTGTAGGCTGTCTCGTCATTGTTGGAAAATGACGAGACAGCCTACATACAAAGTATGTGGACACCCCTTCAAATGAGTGGATTCGGCTATTTCAGCCACACCCATTATTGACAGGTATATAAAATCGAGTACACTACCATGCAATCTCCATAGACAAACATTTGCAGTAGAATGGCCTTTCTGAAGTGCTCAGTGACTTTCAACGTGGTCACCTTTCCAACAAGTCAGTCAAATGTCTGCCCTGCTGAGCTGCCCCGGGCAACTAAGTGCTGTTATTGTGAAGTGGAAACATCTAGGAGCAACAACGGCTCAGCCGCGAAGTGGTAGGCCACACAAGCTCACAGAACGGGACCGCCGAGTGCGTAGCGCGTAAAAATCATCTGTCCTCAGTTGTAACACTCTCTACCGAGTTCCAAACTGCCTCTGGAGCAACGTCAGCACAATAACTGTTTGTCGGGAGCTACATGAAATGGGTTTCCATAGCCGAGCAGCCGCACACAAGCCTATGATCACCATGCGCAATGCCAAGCGTCGGCTGGAGTGGTGTAAAGCTCGCCGCCATTGGACTCTGGAGCAGTAGAAACGTGTTCTCTGGAGTGTTGAAACACGCTTCTCCATCTGGCAGTCCGACGGACAAATCTGGGTTTGGCGGATGCCAGGAGAACGCTACCTGCCCCAATGCAGGTGGAGGAGGAATAATGGTCTGGGGTTGTTTTTCATGGTTTGGGCTAGGCCCCTTAGTTCCAGTGAAGGGAAATCTTAACGTTACAGCCTACAATGACATTCTAGACGATTCTGTGCTTCCAACTTTGTGGCAACAGTTTGGGAAAGACCCTTTCCTGTTTCAGCATGACAATGCCCCGTGCACAAAGCGAGGTCCATACAGAAATGGTTTGTCGAGATCGGTGTGGAAGAACTTGACTGGCCTGTACAGAGACATGACCTCAACCCCATCGAACACCTTTGGGATGAATTGGAACGCAGACTGCGAGCCAGGCCTAATCACCCAACATCAGTGCCCGACCTCACTAATGCTCCTGTGGCTGAATGGAAGCAGGCTTTTATAGGGGGGACCAACTCCATACTAATGCCCATGATTTTGGAACGAGATGTTCTATGAGCAGGTGTCAACATACTTTTGGTCAAGGAGTGTGTGTGTATTCTACGAGTGTTACATAGGCCTGCAATTTTATGTACATGTTGAGTACAAATACGTAGGGGAGTGTACTTGACAACTGTTGTTTAAAGAAGTATTCTGTGTTCAGTGTGACACCAAATGAATGCCCCACCTGTAATTGTCTTTAACCCTGATTTCTCTCTTTTCTTCCACCAGGTTCCTGGCTGTGTCTCACCACCTGCCTCTCCTCATCTCCATACCTCCCATCCAAACCTCTCTACTGCTGAAGCCAACATCCAGGAGGCCTTTGCCTTCCTGGAATCCCCAGACTCACCTACTGATGCCAACCGCCTCCAGGAGGACTTCTGCAGGCTGGCTAACAACAGTGAGTCCCTGGTTTCAGATCACACTCCTGGTTCAATATAGGTATTTTACAGTTCCCAGAGGAAGGCTGGGTATAGTGGTTAAAACTCTGTCACTCACTCACTATCACACACACAACCCTCTCCATCCCTCCCCCACACAATCCTCTCTGTCTCCCTCTCTAGTTCACTCCACTCTGCGGTCAGCCTACAGTTCTCTATCAGCAGAGAGGGACAGAGTGAGACACACTATTGACCTGAAGGCCCCTCCTCCAGCACAGGTCATGGGCCTCAAGACCGGCTATGGCTCGGTGAGTAAGGTGTGAGAGTGTGCATGTGCTGTTTTCCACAATATTGCACATATCATTGTATTGTAAAATGTATTATCAAGTTGATTTCAAGAGATGGTGTTTATATACCAAACATGCCATTGGGACTGACCTAAACCTCCGCTGCCAATCAACATCTTCTACCAATCAGGATCTCCCAGATGGATCCCGCCCCCTTGTCCACCAGGTGTCCAATGAGAGTCGAGCGTCCATCCCTGAGTCCATGTCAGAGTTCTTTGATGCTCAGGAGTACCAACTGACCTCCAGCTCCTCTGAGAACGAGGTGAGCCCTAACCACAGATCTGGGAGAAGATTACCCAACCCCAATGCCAACCATAACCATTAGGGAGATTAACAATAATCTGACCCTGAATCAGTTTAAATACGTTTTCTGTCTCCAGGCCTCCGATGATGACTCATATATCAGCGATGTCAGCGACAGCGTTTCCATGGACAATGGCTACAGCAACGAGGGAGGACGCGAGAGACATGACTCAGGTATCCCGTCTGTGTGTGCGGGTTTGTATGAGTATTTGTATGACGAGCATAACAATTTGTATGAGTGAGCAAATGTCTGTCCAGTTTCCTATGTACATCCATTTTAAGACCAGCACCTCTACCCCGTTTCTCTCCCCCAGCAGGCTCAGGAGGAAGTGGTGTTCAGGTGGCCCGCAGGCGGACTACCCTCCCCTCCCCCCAGCCCAGCAGCAGCAGTGTCAGTCTATGGAACATCCTCAAGAACAACATAGGGAAGGACCTGTCCAAGGTAGCCATGCCTGTTCAGCTCAATGAGCCTCTCAACACACTACAGAGGCTGTGTGAGGAGGTGGAGTACTCCGAGCTGCTGGATACAGCCAACAACACACAGGACCCGTACCAGAGAATGGTGAGGGTATAAGATGCCAGTACACATGCACGCGCAAACATGATGCACGCATGCGCGCACACACACACACGCACAGTCCATAGCAGCGCATGGTGAGAGAATTGAAACATACTCGCTCCATGATTCTTATGATGCATTGTGAGAACCCACACACCCTCGCAACCTCTACCTACACATGGTGAGTAACACACCTCTTTCTTTCTCTCTCCCTCACTGTGTCTCCTGTGCAGGTGTATGTGGCGACGTTTGCGGTGTCTGCGTACGCCTCCAGTTACCACCGGGCAGGAAGTAAACCCTTTAACCCCATCCTGGGAGAGACATACGAGTGTGACAGACCTGACAAGGGCTTCCGGTTCATAGCAGAACAGGTAAACAGGAACAAGTTAACGTCACTCGCATACAGTAAACCAAGAATCACTGGGCTAATTCATTTTCTGTGTTCCAAATTACACCCTATTCCCATTCAGTCTACAACCTTTGACCAGGGCCCATAGTGATCTGGTCAAAATGAATGCACTATATAGGGTTCTATTTGGGACACAACCATTGTGTAGGATGACTGAACTCTCATAACATTGTCAGTAACTTTGTACCCCCTGTCCTTCTCAGGTGAGCCATCACCCACCTGTGTCAGCATGTCACTGTGACTCTAAGAACTTCACTTTTTGGCAAGGTAAACATATCACCACCTTTCTATTTGGGATTGTTATTGTGAGGGTTACCCACCCCACCGACCTACTTACACCTGTCTGTCTCCTGTCTCGCTGCCTCCTGTCTGTCTCGCTGCCTCCTGTCTGTCTCGCTGTCTCGCTGTCTGTCTCCTGTCTGTCTCTCAGATGTCCAGTGGAAGAATAAGTTCTGGGGGAAATCCATGGAGATTGTTCGCATGGGAACCACTCATGTGACCCTGCCAGCGTGAGTCTCTTTGATCTATAGAATTTGTGTGTGGGCCGTGTGCACACCAGTGGAGGCTGCTGAGGGGAAGACGGCTCATAATAATGTCTAGAATGGAGTCAATGGAATGGCATCAAAGATGTGGTTTCCATGTGGTTGACACCATTCCATTAATGACTCCATTCCAGCCATTATTATGAGCCGTCCCCCCCTCAGCAGCCTCCACTGGTGCGGACGTGTGTGTGTGCATCTAAGAACTGCTTTCATGCAAAAGAGAGTGTGGCAGTGTTTACAGGTCTGGTGTCATGTGAAAGGGGTGTGTGACAGGTCTGGTGTCATGTGAAAGGGGTGTGTGACAGGTCTGGTGTCATGTGAAAGAGGGGTGTGACAGGTCTGGTGTCATGTGAAAGGGGTGTGTGACAGGTCTGGTGTCATGTGAAAGAGGGGTGTGACAGGTCTGGTGTCATGTGAAAGGGGTGTGTAACAGGTCTGGTGTCATGTGAAAGAGAGGTGTGACAGGTCTGGTGTCATATGAAAGAGGGGTGGGTGTTGTCATGTGAAAGGGGTGTGTGACAGGTGTGTTTGTCATCCTCAGGTTTGGGGACCACTATGAGTGGAACAAGGTAACTTCCTGCATCCACAACATCCTGAGTGGCCAGCGCTGGATAGAACACTACGGAGAGATGTCAATCAAAAACACCAGCAGTGATGCCTGCCAGTGTAAAGTGACCTTCATCAAGGTGAGGAGAGGGACTATATACAGTGAAGACCATACCTGTGTGCACAGCTACACTAAGTGTGTGTCCCAAATGGAACCCTATTTCTTATATAATGTACTACTCCCCATAGGGCTCTGGCCAAAAGTACTGCACTATATAGGGAATAGGGTGTTATTTGAGACGTTGCCTAACATGTCAATTGGACAACACATATGAACCCTTAGGCACTCGGTGGAGGTTTATCTGAGGGTATTATCAAGTGTAACAGCACCATCTGCTGGGGGATGGGAGGAACAACATCCTGGATACTATTTTCTTGGAAAACTGATGAGTGGTGGATGGATTCATGTGTTGGGTATAGAATTGTAGGAATTTATATTAAATCATTTATAACATGATTAACAGGGTTTGATGGGTTTCCGATTGTGACATGACATTGTTTTTGTGTCCTTGGTTTGTTAATACATTTGTTTATTATTAATACGTTTTGCGTATTTAATCCGCAGGCGAGATCGTGGAGCTCAACAGTTAACGAGATAGAGGGAGTGCTCACGGACACAGGGGGGCGTGTCATCCACTCCTTCTTTGGCAAATGGCATGAGGGCGTGTACCAAGGATACCCACCTTCTGCTATCTGCATCTGGAGAGCAAGTGAGTGACTGGCTCTTTGGACTGTCCGTCAAAACTCAATTCTACAGTAAATATTATAGCTTGATATGTTGTGCTTTGCCAGAAGAGTAGTAAAAAATGTGTTTGTGTAATTTAATAATAAAAGTGTGTGTGTAGACCCCATGCCTGTGGACCAGGACCAGTACTATGGCTTCACTCAGTTTGCTGTGGAGCTGAATGAGCTTGACGCTGCCCTGAAGCCCCTCCTACCCCCCACAGACACACGCTTCCGTCTCGACCAGAGGTACAACACACCCTCGGGATTCTCTCTCTCTCTCTCTCTCACACACACACACACTCACACACTCTTCTCACACACCACACGCCACACACTCTCTCTCTCGTCTCACACACACACAACACCTCACACCTCTCTCTCTCTCTCTAAACACACACACACACTACTCACTCTCTCTCTCCCCTCACACACACCAACACTCTCCCTCTTTTCTCTCACACCACACACACACGCTCACCCACTCTCTCTCCCCTCTCACACACACACACACGCTCACACCACTCTCTCTCTCTCTCACACACAACACACATCACACTCTCTCTCTCTCTCTCTCTCACACACACACACACACACTCACACACTCTCTCTCTCTCTCACCCCACACACACACGTCTCACACACACACCCCCTCACTCTCTCTCTCTCTCTCACAAAACACACACGCTCACACACTCTCTCTCTCTCTCTCACCCCCCACACAACACAACGTCACACACTCTTCTCTCTCTCTCTCACAAAAACCACCACGCTCCCCACACACACACTCTCTCCTCTCTCTCATCTCTCTCACACACACACACCTCACACACTCTCACTCTCCCCTCTTTTCACACACACACACGCTCACACACTCTCTCTCTCTCACACACACACACACGCTCACACACACACACTCTCTCTCACACACACACACGCTCACACACACTCTCTCTCTCTCACACACACACACTCACACACTCTCTCTCTCTCTCTCTCTTCTCCCTCTCACTCACTCACTCCACTTCTCTCCCCACACTCTCCCTCACTCACTTCTCTCTCTCTTCCACTCACTCCGTCACTTCTCTCACTCTCTCCGCTACCACCTCCCTCTCACTCTCTCAATCTCTCACACTTCCACTCTCTCACTCACTCTCTCAAACTACTCTCACTCTCTCTCTCACTCACTCACACCCACTCAACTCACCCACTCACACTCTCTCTCTCTCTACTACACGCACACCCCCGCTCCCACACCCCGCTCTCTCTACTTCCCCACACACCATCACCCCCTCTAACTCTCTCTCTCTCTCTCACACACACACACACGCTCACACTCTCTCTCTCTCTCTCACACACACACGCTCACACACTCTCTCTCTCTCTCTCTCACACACACACGCTCACACACTCTCTCTCTCTCTCTCTCTCTCACACACACACGCTCACACACTCTCTCTCTCTCTCTCTCTCACACACACACACCTCACACTCTCTCTCTCTCTCTCACACACACACACGCTCACACACTCTCTCTCTCTCTCTCACACACACACACGCTCACACACTCTCTCTCTCTCTCTCACACACACACGCTCACACACTCTCTCTCTCGCTCTCTCTCAGATGTTTGGAAGAAGGGAACATTGAGGGGGCTGAGGAGCAGAAACGGAGGATAGAGCAGCTCCAGAGAGAGAGGAGGAAAGTTCTGGAGGAGAACAACGTGACACACAAACCACGCTTCTTCAAGTACGCAACCGTGTGTCTCTTTCTGTCTAACTTTAGCAGACAAGGGAGTTCATTGCTCACACTTTTAGCCTCAAACACAGAACAAGTCAGTCTTGCTTCTTAGCTGCTCAGTATCCTATACAATATCGAAAACGTGTGACGGAATGGCACCTGTCTGTGTCTGTCTATATAACTTACCACACTCTCACTGGTCTGTCATGTGCATAACACTCCATTAGCCTCACTGTCTGACTGGTCAAAACAACACTATTAACAGTTGTTCTCAGTGGATTTATGAGATCTCACAGTTTTCCTTTTTAGGTTGTACTGGGGGTTATACAGTTAGCATTTTTACAATTTAGTCATTTACCAGACACTCTTATCCAGAGCAACTTACAGGAGCAATTAGGGTTAAGTGCCTTGCTCAAGGGCACATCGACTGATTTTTAACTTAGTCGTCTCAGGAATTCGAACCAACAACCTTTCGGTTATTGGCCCAATGTTCTTAACCGCTAGGCTACCTGCCTCCCTGGGTGTGGTATGAAGTATGTGACTATTGTTTTGTTTATTTATCAGGAAATCAAAGGATGACACGTGGCTGAGCTCCAATATATACTGGGAGCAGCGGAAGAACCCCGGGTTCAGCAGAGAGGACTTCCCTGTGCTGTGGTGACCTCTGACCTTACCTATAACCCTGTGACCCCACGGGAGCACAGATCTAGGGTCAGATTATTCTCACCCACAACAAACCTTAACCAATACAGGGAAAACTAAAAACTGACCTTAGGTCAGCACTTGGAGACAACACTCTGACCCGGTGACTATGGACCGCCGAGTGTCAGGGCCCACGGCTGAATATGGGCTTCCTGCTTCTGTAGGCGGAGACGGAGCTAACCTAAGACAGAGCTTTCACTTGACTCTGTGTTTAAAAGAAAAGAGCGCTTCCTTTTTTGTTTTGTTTTTGTCATTACTTTAGTCTATCAGGTACAGGGTATCTTCTTTCAATGTTATCCTTTTCTCTGGATATTTGTCAAATGTATATTTTATGCTGTCACTGTAGTTCGGATGCAGTCCAGCCACCAAAGTGTCTTAATAAAGCAATAAGGTCCGAGGAGGTGTGGTATATGGTCAATATACCACGGCTATGCGGAGTGCCTGGATACAGCCATAAGCCGTGGTATATTGGCCATATACCGCAAACCCCTGAGGTGCCTTATTGCTATTATAAACTGCTTACAAATGTAATTAGAACAGTTTATAATATGGAATGATTTACTACTCAGGAAAACCTGCTGTAGATGATTATGCAAATCCTCACTCACTATTGGTGGGTTAAAGTGCCTCAACGCACTTTTATGATGTCATTGTTGTGATGCCACTCGTATTAATGTAGTCTAAAGAAGCACACTGATGGAGTCTTGTAACTAGGGGATTTAACTTTTTCTAAAGGTCAAACACTCTACTGTACGATTCTGTCTAATCACAATACTGTCTTAAAACTCCTCAACCATTGGCTGACAGAACGTATGAAATAAGGCCTCATGTTAAAGCCTGTGTGCTGCCCTGTTGTGATAAGATGATACTGTATATCAGTAAAGAATAGAGCAATATCTATGAAGATGAACAATAAAACAGTGGAACTGTTATACTATAGTCAGAATGACTACTTTGTGTGTGTGTGGGCATGTGTTCGTTTGTGGCATTTTGTGTGTGTGGGCGTGTGTTCGTTTGTGCTTAATTTGAGCCGGATCCTGCCGGAACAGGATCCGGCACCTCTCCATTTTGGACTGTTTTGTTCCGGAACCTATTTGGTCAGATCCGGTAACTCTCATGGCATGAACAATTATTTTCAATTTTTGCAATGTACAAATTATAATAAAAGCGATCAAAGTATATTCGAGTTGCCTCTTAATTCTCCTGCCACCACAAAAAAACATGATGTGAAAAAGTAGATTTTCAGCCTGGGCCTTTATTCTAAGAGCTGCCTGGGGTTGGGCCGGCCCGAGTTCTAGGTTTGCGCAACATTGTAACCTATTGTATGTGAGAGAACAACGGGTGGCTGTGTGAGAAGTGCGCCTGTATCCAGTGTTGCCAACTTAGCGACTTTGTCGCTATATTTAGCGAGTATTCAGACCCCTCTAGCGACACATTTTCAAAAAAGCGACTAGCGACAAATCTAGTGACTTTTTCTGGTGTTATTGGAGACTTTTGGCGACTGACGTGAAAGCACGTATTGTTCTTACTCTTCTCAACGAGCAGCGGGTGCTGCAGTGGGTGCTGCCATGGGCCCCACCCCCGTCCCAAAGCACTCACAGGCGGCCCAGTCCTCGCGCAGCAGTCCCTCCCAGCTGCAGTCAGAGCAAGAGATGTTCACCCCTCCGCGTCCAGACTGCAAATGAATCGCGCATGTGGGAAGCCGCCGCTGGCTGATCCCGCCCTGGCTTACATTCAGGGACGGATGTAAATGTAAAACATTTTTTAAAAACAAGAATCGACAGAAGAAAGTTTCATTTGTAGTTCTAAACATATTTAGGGTGTTTCTTACTCACTTTTTGTCTCTCCCACAACGTTATTCCTCTCTCCTACAGCATCCATCACAATTACATGCACATGGCCAATTATGCAAATTAGGTGATGTCATTTAGCGACTTTAGGACAGCCAATAGCTACTTTCCTTACTGAGGAGTTGGCAACACTGCCTGTATCTCTCACATAACTAGAATGAGGTTCACTTTCTAAGATCTCTCTGCTCCGATACACAAGTTTACGCGCTGTATCCCGGTTGGCGCCATAACTCTACACAAATGCATTTCATTTCCGCCAGAAGTTGTTTGCACAACGTCTGCCGGTGTAAACACAGCGATGTCGACGCTAGCTTGGGAACACGGCAACAAAGAACTGCGAAATCACAACTGTGGCAAACGGAGATAGGGTAGATTACCATATTGCCTGCAATGGTCCAAAAGGCTACTACATGCAGGTACAAATTGGGATGCACTGCACAGGGCTTCAGCACTCCAAGTTGGTGATCTGGAACAAAACTGAGCACCTAGAAATCGAAGTACCCTACGACCAAGGCTTTGTCCAGGGGCATATCATAAGGCTGCGCACATTCTACTTTGCCCACATGCTCCCGAAAATTGTTGATGATTTTGTTGAGGGAAGGTTACAGTTCTGCAGTAAATATCGCAGCATTTTAAAACCAAAATAAACAGCCTTATTTAGGTCATGCCAACAGATGTCCATTGTTTACATGATCTCTTTATGCTGTGCAATATATCAGTGTGCCTACTGTTTGAGTGTTGGTGAACACATAATTGGAGAGGAAGTACAAAACCAACGACGCTAGACAGAGAGGAATTTGCTTAAGCAAAAGGCAGTTTATTAAAACAGAGATAGCTGGTACTGCTTCAAGCTACATGCATGGTCCCAACCAATTGCCTCTTAAGGAGACAGTTGAGAAGGGCCATTAAAAAGAGCTTACAGCATTACTTTATACAATGTAACATAAAGGAAGGGGTCCTTCTTCTAGTCCCTTGATTGGTTCCCGAGGCGTAGGAGGCGGGTCTGCTCTGTCCAGAGCAGATGCCCCATTGGTGCACGGCAGAGTCCTCTGCCCTTGGCACCCGACCAGTAGAAGGGGAGTTGAGAATGAGTGTGCGTCCACAGTGAGATGTGTGTGTGTGTGTGTGTCTCAAGGGAAACTCGTGGGGAGCAACAAGTGATTGTGGCCTGTGGCGTGGGTGTTGTCCTTGGCCACCTGGTGACAAGATATGGTCCTCTGTCCATTGTTCTTGCATAGGAACAGCATTTATTGAAAACAAGCTCCAAATGGGTCTTTGCACAACATTTTAGTCAGACCAATCTATAACCAATTATATTTACTACGACAAATCCCCCTCTTCACGTCTTCTAGACGTGATCCATTAATTATGTTGGCATTAAGCATAGTTGAATCAGTCTTAAAAGAAAAACAATAATGCAGGAAAGAAAACAAAACATGATAACGCATAATGCAATTGTAAAAAAATGTCAACCATCCCCCTCTAGCATACTAATTATATGGCCAGTTAATTAAACAATGTTAGTCCCCCTCTAGTGAGTGAATACAACAATCAGAGTTGGTCTTTGAAATCGCTAACCTCCAATTGTCGCTGTTCAGGTTTGTAATCATGACAGGCCCATCCACCCCCAGGGACAACACCATACAGACATTCAGGATTCCCAAAAGGACAATCAAGAGGTCCACCTTTAATATTACATAAGGGAGGATAGTCACTTTCAAAATCGTCCAGTTCCAAATCATTAGTTCCCAAAAGCGGATACATCTGGGCTTGGTCATTGTGAATTGTTTCAATAGCAGTGGTTATTATACGGTTAATCAGAGTGCGGGCACAGGGAATACAACAACATCCACACAATGTAAGAATTGATACAAAAACAGCAATAGAAATCAATACAGATGAAATAAGGGTTTTATATTTACCAAAAACATCCATCCAGGAATCCCACATAGAGGTATCAACCCCAGAATGATCTTTCATTTTACCAGTAAGAGTCCTCAAACCTTCTAGAGCAATTGTCAAACTTCCATCTGCAGCAGTATTGTTAGGAATAAAAGTACAACATTGTTCCCCGAACATAGCACACACACCCCCTCTTTCAGCAAGTAACATATCAACAGCAATTCTATTCTGAAAAGCCATTAATGAAGTTGCAGCTAGTTGTCCATGAACAGCCTCAAAACCTTGTTGAGTCCAGTTTTCTAATTTCTGGACATTAATGTATGTAGTTAATTCTATCGACGTTTTTATTAATGGTACAACAGTCAGCACCCAAAAGACACCATTCCACTGTACTCCATGTACCCATGTTCAAGGACAGTTTCACAGACAACAAAGAGAGAGTATTCTTATCAGCCTGTTATGTGAAACAATCCATATCAGTACAGTGCTCCTCATTAATGCATTCCTTCCAAGCTATTCATCACATACAGATCCAATTAAAAATAAAACCCAACAATTTTATGGTGTCACTCTAAACAGAGTATAATCACCCTTAAGAATAACAGGATATGGAAATTAAATCACAACATTTAATGTTAATAAAAAATATATATAAAAAATATTTTAACCCTCTATTCCTCCCCTACACCTAACATGTACTGAGTTGGCTACCAGCCACCCAGGAATCCTTTACCTTCACCTCAGGAGGAATAAACAATCACAGTGGTTAGTAAAAACATAAGGTAATAAATGAGCAAGAACTGAAAATAAATGCGTGTATGTATTTTACTAGGCAAAACATGGATCATCCAGCTTGGTCTCAGAGTCAGTAGCAGAGTCACCTGCATCATCCTGGGCCGGTAACAACAGCATCATACCTGACGCCTGCACCACTCCTACCACTGACCTCCTGAGACAGGGGACGATGCAAGCAGCACAACACATTAACAGCAAAAACACAATTACTAGGGTCAGAAATCCAGTAACCACCATAGAAGAGTACTCACCAAACCAGTCACTCAGCCAGGAAATAAGGCAACATCCACAAAGAACAAGTATACCCATAGAAGCTATAACTTCACCCAGAATAGTCACAACAATAGTTTTCCATTTACCAAATATGTTATCAAACCAACCGTTTATGGAGCTATCAATACCAGAGTTCTTAACCAGTTCGTTCGCCAGCGTGGTGATGGTCACTCAAGAGCTTTGGTCACGGGCCCGTCCGGTGCTATATTGTTGGAGATGAAAGTACAGCACATATATCCAAACAGAACACAAACCCCGTCCCGCTCAGCCAAAAGCATATCTAAAGCTATTCTATTCTGCCATGTCATTAAGCTAGTTGCCGCTGTCTGCTCAGCTAATCCCTTTATTGCATCACGAGTGTGGTT